CGAGCACAATAGCGAAGAGGAAGAAATTACTCGCTGAGCAGCTCGTTTCAGAGAGCGGCCCAAAAATAAAAGCCCAGTTTTCAGTCTATAAATACAACGCGACGAGGCCTTCAGAAAGAACACATTCTGAAGACGAAAGAAAGGAGAACGCAGAGACGAACTCAGAGGCAGAAGGCAGAGGTGGAGGAGAAACTCTGGAGCAGGATTCCAGAGGAGGAGAAGGAGATCAAAAGCTTCACCATTGATCATCTTTAATCCAAGTTTTATCATGAACTCTGTTTATTTTTCAGTATCTAGTAATTCTGAATTTATGAACATGATAGGCTAGTTTATTTATGTAGTTAGGATTATCGATCTGATGTGAATCCTATTTATGGTTTCATTTAATTTCTTTAATAGATTATTTCAGTATTTGTGTTTTACCTTGCATGAATTTTTATATCCTTGTATGAATTGATCACTCCTATAGGGATTTGAGGGTTAGGGCTCGCAATAGACATATTGGGGTTTTAGTCATGACAAGGGTAAAATACCAATTCTTGTATGACCTATACATAAGCTTGCTTGAGTTCTAGACTTCATAATTCATCGTGTTTAATGCTTATTCTAAGAAGGATTACTAAGACATTAGAATTCTAATTAGAGTAAAGGGTTAAAGTCACTAAGACATTAGGATTTAACCAACTATTTTTAGAAGATAAATTGTCTTAGATATCTGAGGTAAATTATTATTGAATTTAATTTAAATTACTCTAGGAGGATCTGAGGTTAAATAATTCCTAACTGCAGCTTTTGTCTTTGATATTCTAAATTAAATTCTCAAATCTTGCGTTCTTGATATTCTTGTTATTTACTGCAATTAATTTTAGCTTTATTTTAAATTCAAAAATTATTCTATTTTCCAAACCAATTCGAGTTTTCCAAATTAAGGGGACTAATTATAATAGTATTTGGCGCATTAAATCTCGTGGGATGATATTCTTATTTCACTTCTTTATTACTTGAAACGATCGGTATACTTACCGTAATCGCAACACCACTCTAAGCTATCGAAGAGATCTACAATATAGTAGCAGTTGAGAACTATAGATGAAGTATAGAATTCATATAATTTTAAAAGAGATGAAGGTATTGAACAACGTGTGATCTAATAAAATAAGAATATGACATTAAACTTAGTTTCATTTATTTCACAACATCACATGATTATGATCATGCAATTGGTTATTTTAAATTCGGCTTTGTTCAAAAAGAAAAATTTATCTGGATTTCTAATTAAACCAATGTGATTGTAATTACGCTTAATATCATAAAGCAATGTTAACAAACCGGTTCTAGAACGGGATGTTACAACCTATCACCCCCGAATTGTTGATCAAGTGAGAGATCCATTTAGACCTTAGAATACATGCTTAGAGTCGTGTCCTTAGAATATGGAAGTGGTTACGGGTAGATACTTATCTTTGGTATAATTTACCCACAATAATAATTTTCGCTCAAGCATTGATCCCACTAAAGACACTTTATGAGAGAAAGTGTACGTTATGTTGGTTTGAAAAAGGGGAAAGGGAGGGTCAAAATTACTAGTACAAGAGACCTTGAAGCAAATTCATATGATCATGGATAAATGGACAACAATTTAGAATAAATAAAAGAGTTATGTTGACCACAAGTGGGGTTGCGTTTGCACGTTAATTATGATGTTACAATGAATAATATATTTTATTAAAAATACAATCAAAGGTTGATTTAATGGTGATGAAACTTAACTATATATCCTAATTATTTAGAATTAGGCTATAAAATTTATTTGTTAACAAGTGCATGCTCTTAAGAAACGAAAAAAAAAAATTCGTCTCCTATCAACATTGGTGAAAGGAATAAAAATGAGCGAGTATTAAATGAAAGAGTAAATACCCTTTTTGATTCTCAACAAATTTCTCGATGCTCGTTTTAGTCCCTAGCAAATAAAAAGGCCCATCGTGGTCCTTAAGAAATTCAAAATAGACCCATTTAGTTGAAATTGTGGTTCTTCGCAAATTCAAAAAAGACTCATATTAGTTCCTAAAATGACTAAAATGGGTTCATTTTGAATTTTTTAGGAACCACGATGGACCTTTTTATTTGCGAGAGACTAATTCGAGCATCGTAAAATTTGCTGAGGACCAAAAATGATATTTACTCCAAATGAAAAGCAACACATTCAAGTATATAACACGTTAGGAAATAAAAATTTTAACTTTTCATTTAATACTCGGTACTTTTATTCTTTAATAATTTTTCTTAAGATACTGCATAGCAAAACCTTAGAAAATAATAAGAAGGGAACTTCTAAATAACAACGTAAGTTTTTTTAGTTTATTTAAAAAAATTCTTGACCATATATATATATATGGAAAAATATTTATCGTTTTAAAAAACACAACTTATGTCATTTCACTCTCATGAAGAGGTGAGACCCACAACTTTAATTTTTTTTGTTAACTCTCTCTCCTCCTTTATCTATTTCTATCTCTCTTTTAAAATGACAGAATTTTACATCATTTAAAATAACACACATTTTTCCTATATATATCAATGCATAATTATTTCATTTATGCAATTAAACTATCGCTGCCGAAATCCTAATAATAATTGGAGTCAGTTAATAATTTCCAAAATAAAGATTGAGAAACTAACTGTAGCGTGTAAATTATTTCACTAGGTTCAGTGGCGGAGCAATGTACAACGTGGGTGTGGCATCGGTTCGGACTAAATTTTAACAAATTATACTTATTATATAATTAATTGTAATTTGGCCCGGGCTACAATTTATAATTTGATCTTGTGTAAAACTTAAAATATTTTTGGTAAAAGATTTGGGTAAGTTGTATTAAGTTATATGTCTAATTTTTACTTGTATAAAATAAATACATTATTTTTAGTAAAATTAAAAAAAATATTTAATAAAATTATAACTTTTCTTAATGCTGCTTGTCCAAGTGTTCTGGATTTAATGTAATTTAAATATATTATGATATAAATAAACTAAAATTAAGAAAAGTAAATATACATATTTTCTTAGCAGACATTTTTTACTCCTTGTTTGATTACTTTTTACTCCTTGTTTGATTATTTGTATTCGGACCAACTCATAAGTAAATTAAGTAATTCTCCTAAAATATACTAACCAATATTACAGATGCGTCCTTAAAATCATTAAAAAAAGATAATTCCAACAGCTGCAAAAACTAGATTAAAATGCCTTAGCGTACAATCAGAAATATACTAACCAATAATTGTTTTTAATCTTCCTATTTTTTTTTTTTTGGTAAGCTAATTTTTTTATATATATATATATATATGTTATGCTAGCCCATGTCACCTTTTTCAGGTAACGTGTTTTCATTCACCAAACTGTAAAATAATAATAATAAAAATAATAATAATAATAATAAGAGATATGTTATTCTACCTATCATTTTTTCTGTTTATCTTTGTCTATCACTATTTAATATCATTATATCAGAATCTTAACTAATATTTGTCTATCAGAATCTTAACTAACATTTGTCTATCAGAATCTTAACTAATATTTATCTTTCTCTCTTTTCTTGAGATTCTGATCTAATTGTATTGTGAGATTCTGATCTAACGATATTGGAGAGTGATAGGCAAAGGTAAACACAAAAAATAGTAAGTAGAATAATCTATCTCTCATAATAATAATAATAATAATAATAATAATAATAATAAAAATAAAATGATTAAATGAATGATGGCAATGTTAATCGGCAGTGTTGGTACGTAGAATGTTTTAGGATGCGCGTCTAATTAATCATTCCTTGAAACTAATTTAATCCATAATTTATGGACAACTTACAATTAACGACAGATTTGACTGGGAATATATTAGACAATGACTCAATGTCAGACTTTTCCGATACGCTGTCAAAGCTGCCATTCTCAATAATAATAATAATAATAAAATATTTATTAATTTTATCCTGTCACTACTTAAGTCTTTCATGTGGTGATGATTTTTTATCTTTTGAGAGATTATATTTGTGACCAAACCTTTAAGGAACTAATAAGATGACATGTAATATATTTTGAGAGTAATTTAATAACAAACTTTTTTAAAAAGTGATGTCATAAACTAATAATAATAAATTAATAATAACAAAGGATGTGAAGGAACGAAAAGGAAAAGACAAAGTATTCATTAATCTCTGCATGGCTTTAGCCTCTCTAAGAAGATCAGAACAGGGGAAGGGCAAAAAAACAAAACAAAAGAAAAAGAGTTCTTTAATGCCCTGTTATTTCCAACTTTAGCGGGAGTGGGTTTTACCGAAAGTATTAATATTGAACCATGAACAGTACAAACTTTAGCGGGAGTGAGTTTTAAAATTTTAAAATGAGTGATAAGTTAATCATAAAGTTATACTTACAATATTTTCTCAGCACAATTATATGTTAATTGTTGATTTTTATCAATTTAATAGTTATAATTTATTGAAAATTAATAATTAACTAATAAATATGATTCAATAAATTATAATCATTACATTGACGAAAATTATTAATTAAAATATAATTGTAAGAGATTATAAAAAAAAAAATTAAAAATGTAATTTGTAAAAATAATTATAAACGGATACTTTCACATAAATTTAAACATAAATTAAAATTTTCATTTGTAATAAAAAGCTTGTTTTCCAAAGTGTAAAGCCAATTTCTTTGCTACTTTCCGCTGTTTCTTTTATGCTTAAAGACAGAAGAGAAGCTTATAAAAGCAGCCTATTGGCTTCACACTTTCATTAGGTCTGATTCCATTGACACACACCTACTTTAGTGATTTTGCTGCTCCACAAAATGGTAGCTCCTTTTCATCAAATGTAAAACCCCTTTTCATATCTTGTAGCAAACTCTACATGCAAGTTTAATTTTTATTTTTTTTTGTGTGCTAGAGAGAGATATAGAGAGCAATATCAGAAGAGAGAACAAAAAAGAACAGCTCCATGTCTGACTCACACCTGACTTTCTGTTTTCTTTCTTCAATTCTTGCTCTTATTGTAATTTTCATTCTCATCAAAAGAAAGAAACCAAGGCTTAATCTTCCCCCTGGCAAAATGGGATGGCCCTTTCTTGGAGAAACTCTTGGGTATTTGAAACCTTATTCTGCTACTACAATAGGAGACTTTATGGAAAAGCACATAGCAAGGTAAAAATCAACATCACCCTCAAAATTACAACACTAATTACAAAATAAAAAATATAAGACTCAAACTTGTCCAATATCTGCAGGTATGGTACAATTTACAAGTCACAATTATTTGGTGAACCAGCTATAGTGTCAGCAGATGCAGGGCTTAATAGGTTCATATTGCAAAACGAAGGGAAGTTATTTGAGTGCAGCTATCCTAGAAGCATTGGGGGAATACTTGGGAAATGGTCTATGTTGGTCTTAGTAGGGGACATGCATAGGGACATGAGGAATATATCACTGAACTTTCTCAGCTATGCTAGGCTTCGAACACATCTATTGAAAGAGGTTGAGAAGCATACCCTTATAGTTCTAAACTCGTGGAAGGAAAATAGTACATTCTCAGCTCAAGATGAAGCAAAGAAGGTAACTTAGTTTTCTTGTCTAATTTGACTATTCTTGCAAAAAACAAAAAAGAATAGCACAAGAATTAACTAAAAGTTACTTCGCTTAAATTTCAGTTCACCTTCAATTTGATGGCGAAACATATCATGAGCTTGGATCCAGGGAATCTAGAGACAGAACAATTAAAGAAAGAGTATATCTCTTTCATGAAGGGTGTGGTTTCTGCTCCTTTGAATTTTCCCGGAACTGCATACTGGAAAGCATTAAAGGTAATTTATAATCAATGAATAATTAATGATTAAGAGAACCCCATTTTTTTTTTTCTAATTAGTGATACTGAATTTCAATATTATTGTCTTGTAACAATTCTATTACTATGTTTTACAGTCTAGGTCCACTATACTGAAGTTCATAGAGAGGAAAATGGAAGAAAGAGTCAAGAGAAACCAAGTGGGAAAGGAAAGTTTGGAGGAAGATGATCTTCTAAACTGGGTTTTGATGCATTCAAATCTTTCAACCGAGCAAATTCTTGACTTGGTTCTGAGCTTGCTTTTTGCTGGCCATGAAACTTCATCCGTAGCCATAGCTCTAGCTATTTACCTCTTACCTAGTTGTCCTCGAGCTATACAACAATTAAGGGTAAGCAAGTACCACGATGCTACGTGGAAAATAGTGGGAAACTTTACTCCTAATAATTTTTTTTTTCATTTTTTTGGTGGAAAATAATAGGAAGAACATGGAGAAATAGTCAAATTGAAGAAGCAAGCAGGGGAGGTTGAATTGACTTGGGATGATTACAAAAGAATGGAATTTACAAACTGTGTAAGTAACATGTGAATATGATAATTAAAATGGGGTTTATGCACATTCCTTTTCGTTCTATAATTTAATAATTATTTCATATTAAAAGTTAGCATTAAAAAAATAATATATGGGATGAAGCTCATTAACGTGTCTACAAATTACAACACACATGCATTAATAGTAAATTATTTTTTCTTTGTGAAGGTTGTGAACGAAACACTTCGGCTGGGAAATGTTGTGCGGTTCCTTCATAGGAAGGCTCTCAAAGATGTTCGGTACAAAGGTAAGTAGGAGAATAAGCATTACTATTATTTTATATCATTTTTGGTTGAAAGATCACAATGAACTCTTTTGTGGAAAGAAAAAAAGGAAGAGGAAAGGTTGGTTTAGGTGTTATAACAAAAGGGAAATCGAAGGCCTTTAGAGAATTGAAAATGTGTGTTTGTGTATGAAAGGTTATGACATTCCACGTGGGTGGAAAGTCCTTCCAGTGATTTCAGCGGTGCATTTGGATCCTGCACTTTTTGACCAACCTCAACACTTCAATCCATGGAGATGGCAGGTCAGTTCTACTTATAACGATAGATTGCACGCCTTACATTATTAGTATCCATCCCTTTTTTCTTTTTACTTCTTTTCTAAAGCCAAGGGAAAAAAAGGATTAATAAGCACTAAGCAGAGGTCCCCATCCTCAAGCACTTGAATTTAATTGGTGCTTGCTGTGGATTCCCACATGCAATCACTTCCTCACTGGTCTCCTTTCCTTAAATTTTTTTATTTTTTAAATTTATAGTATATATTATATTATAATTATAAAACATATAAAATTACTATAATAATATAAATATAATATATTATTATAATATTATATCGTGTATATGTATGTCTTAGATCCTCCTATAGCTTGGATATCTTCCTTTTTAGTGAAAAAAACTTTAATACACGGGAGCACTGAGTTTGATATTTCCTCTTATTAAACAAGAAATTATTTTAGAATTTAATAAGAAATAGAAAAAATATATATGAATAAATGCTACCAGTGACTTGTAGTTTTTCTCCTCTCTAGTATACAAGGAGACACTACGTTCGGCGCTTCAGAATCAGAGACCCACATGAGATAAGCATGCCGTACGGCTTTGACAAAGCTTGAAAATAAAAAAATACTTGATCCGTTGATCATTGTTGTTGACTTAGTCCTCGTAGCTAGATAGTTCTGACGTAGTCAGATCTTATAAAATATGCATTATATTTTTTATGGGACATGATCGGTTTATAAATTTTTTTTGCAATTACACTAATGTAGGACCGGTCGTATACTGTGTGATTAATGTAGGACCGATTCTACATAGTGTAGTTTGTAAGAGTTTGTAAATAAAAATGTTTGTAAATATAACCTGCTCCATTTTTTATAGTACAAAAACAAGTTATTGACTAAAAGTTTTTGTACTATTTCATAAAAAGTGAGTATTGATTATAAATTTGTGAGATACTATATTCTTTATTTTCATGAAGTTTAATTTTGACTCATACTGCGAATTAATTTTTTTTTATACTATCACTCGCTTATGCATTTATTATATTATTAAAAAATTAAACTTCTTATATTGTTGCTAAGCTTAGGGTCTTGGTAGCTATTAGCCTATTAGTCATAATTAGCATTACCATTACCAGCGATAGAGTTACAGATGAAGTGTCATGATCGGCGGAGAAGGATCTTGTGAACATTACAGGTCCCACTAGATGATCATGGCTCTTTTTGTGCACGTGTGGGTAGGGTCCTGTGGTTCCACATCATTAAATGCCCGTGCGGATGTGGGGCTCTCACATGCACGTGCATTTGTGCTTTTCCATTTCTCAATCTGGTCTTTTCCAACGACTACTCCTTACCCCAGGTTTATTTATTACTTTTATTAAAACAAATAAAAAACAAAACACGTGAACTTATATTAGAGTAAATAGTCGAACATGTAGGTCGACTAGTCCTAAAGCCAATGTTAAAGGATTTTATTCATAATTGTTAATAAAAAGTTAAAAATAAATATGTAACAGTTTCATAATTAATCATAAGTATGTATTTATTTTAGAGAAGAGTTATATTGATAAACTTTTTTTTTTTTTGCAAACTTATAAATTATACTATGTTTTACTGGTAAAATTTCACTCAAAAGTGTCTTACCGGTAAGATATAGTATAATTTATAAGAGTTTGAAATAAAAAATTTGTAAATATAATATTTTTCTTTATTTTATTATAATATTAACAATTTGTTTTTTATTCCGCAATTAAAAGATGTGAAATGAAAAACTGTTCCATTCAGTCCGTATTCTAATGTTAATTACCTGTTATGGCCCAATAAAAAATTGTTGGGCCTTGATGTCCTTTTTCACTGTCAACTTTACGATGTCAAAGCCCAATGGAAGCCCATAAGTATCACTGAACTAAATAAAACATTTAACGAGAGATTAATCCTCCATATAAACCAGACTCAAACTAGCCATAGTAATGTTCATAGAAGTCAAGCCTTCTAAAAATCAGCCAACATAGTAATAGAAAAATAACCTTTAATGAAAAATACTAAAATTGTACGAATCGAAGTATTAACACTTTATAAATTACTATTCTTATTTTTAATTTCGTAGTTTTCTGTTTTAAGTAATTATGAGACCTGTTATGTAACTTATGTTCATAATGAACCATCGGGCGTTCATTAGAAATAGACACTTGAATACTTTTATTTTTTCTTCTCATCATTATTACGTTGTTTTGGCACGGTATTAATTAGTATAAATATTTTGATTATATTATCTTTCCTTTGATATTGAAATTGAAGTTGGAGGTGCAGGGCAATAGTAAAAGTGGAAGTTGCTCAAACACAAGCAATAACTTCATGCCATTCGGGGGAGGACCAAGACTGTGTGCGGGTTCAGAATTAGCAAAACTTGAAATGGCTGTTTTCATCCACCATCTCATCCTCAACTACCAATGGGAACTGGTCGATTCCGATCAACCTATTGCATACCCTTTTGTTGATTTTCCCAAAGGTCTATTAATCAGAGTCCAAAGCCACTCTTTGATATGAGCAAAATTCATCCGAACCACTCTCACAGTAGTACCTTATATGAATTGAAGACCTTTTTGACTCTCTCGTGTAGGTCTAGTGAAACCAAGTACAAGAACATGCATTAGGACCACTTTCTCTTCTCCATTTTCTTCTAGCTTGTGCTTTTTGTATTCTCGGTATCCCACTTGTACTGTACATTTTATATATTCATCCTAGAAGACCAGGGCTAGTGAATATATATACTCATATATGTTATATGAGTATGATATTTACTTTTCAATCCTCACTTTATTTTACCTTTTTGTATTACATACGAATAATCCAATAACTTTAGTTCATAATGTATTAAGTTCTATTACTTTCCCCAGATATCATTGAACCGAAAGGAATTTTTGTTACTATCATCACCCCGTCTGTAACTGGATTATACGAACCATCGACACATGGTTATTGTGTACTGAAAACTACGAGAATTATTATCCGAAGACATGGTAATGGTCGATTACCACTTGAAATGACATTTGATACTACACATATTAGGCATGATTGAACATTGAATACAAAACAATAGGTTGGTTGTACTAAAAAAAAAAAACCAATAGGTTGGTTTTTATTTTTTATTTTTATTTTTCCTTGAAAGTGTCGTTGATCAAACCACAGCCCAGGCCCAAACGTATTACTAGGTCACCCATACATCTTCAAAATTACGACACTTAAAACCCAACTCATTAAAGGCTCATCTAACTTTGCATTGCTCCGCATGTTTGAATTATTAGAGTTAGCAAGTTTCTTTTATCTTGACACTTTATAAGATTTAAGAAGTTTATTTTACCTTATCAGTTTAAGTTTATCGCCTTCAATCTTCGTTATCATTATCTTCTTTACCGTTTGCCGCTTATAAGTAGAAAATTTATGTGTACAAGATTGTGCACATCCTTATTGACAGTGGCATTACCCAAAACTTCGTTACTTCCAGAATGGCTACACATCTTCACCTCACCCTTAACATGATTTTTTACTTTCAAGGTTCAGGTTGGGAATGGTGCCAATATGACCTGCTCATCTGCATGTTATTCCACCTGGTTGCAAAGAATATACATATGGAGAAAAATTGTTTTTGCCACACTCACATATTATTTTTCTACATTTTATAATGGAACTAACTCATTTCTATGTGAGTATATATGATAGAAATAATTTTTCTGCAATAAAAGAAAAATATTTTTTCATATATATATATGAGTTCGTCTTTTCTGCAGTGAATGTAGATAAGTTATTTATAGTGAGCCTAAAACAACGTCGCTTTGAGGCAGAAATCAAGGTATTTTTGTAATTTTAATTTATTTTAGAGTTATAATAGTCTTACTTATTATAATTTTTTAATTTTTCAACTCAAAACGACGTCGTTTTAGAAGTGAATGTAGATAAGTTATCTACATTCACTGTAGAAACATTAAAGCCTATATATATAGGTAAAATCATTTATGCAGCCGCTTTACGTACAACAACGACAGGTGTATGGTTATGATTCTCAACATTTAATGCTTTCATCATTTGTATGGTTATGATTCCTTGCATTTAATGCTTTCAAATATATATATAGCAACTATTTGATTGCTGCACGTACAACAGCTGCAGAAATGTAAATCCCATATATATGGAAAAAAATATTTGTCCATTTAAAGGATATAATTTTGTGTCATTTTAGATCCTAACTGTTGATTTCTGTCAATCAAGAGTTAGAATTTATTGGGTCAAACTTATTAATTAATTATTAATTCGCAATAAAACCCAATAAATCCTAACCGTTGAATGACGAAAATTAATGGTTAGGATTTAAAATGACACAAAGTTATATCCTTTAAAAGGATAAATATTTTAAATATGTATATATATATATATGAGTGTTATTAATCTCATATTAAAGGAGATAAATTATCTCATGTCACACATACAAACTTGTGGACCCCACTATTTGTAAAAATTAAAATAAAGAGTAAAACCCCTTTCGAGTTCCTAACATAAAACACGGTTCCCACTTTCGTCCCTTACAAGAAAAATATCCATATTAGTCCATTTTAGGGACTAAATTGGGTCTTCATTGAATTTCTGAGGGGCCATATTTTCAAAAAATAGAAATTGTAGAGGGACCGAAAGTTGACTTTTTTTTCTGTAACGGACGAAAATGGGAACCGTGTTTTTTGTAAGGACCCAAAATGAGTTTTACTCTAAAATAAAAAAATTCATGGGATCCACCTTTTTATTAATGTAGGAAAAAGAACTTATCTTCTTTAACAAGAAAACATTTTCCATGTATATATATATATATATATATATATATATATATATATATAAATGTTTGTCATTTTAAATGATATAAAATTATGTCATTTTAAGAGAGAGATAGACACAAAATAATATTTTTTATTTAAAATTTAAATTAAAAAAAAACACATTCCTTGTGTCTATCTCTCTCCTAAAATGACTTAACTTATGTCCTTTAAAAGGACAAACATCAAACCCAGTGGCGGACCCAAGAAGTTTTGTTTATGTCTGCACATTGAATTGGAGGTTCGGGGGCAGTGCCCCCTTAAATTTTTTTTTTTTGTCAAAAAAGTTTAAATCAACCTTTATATACAAGGTTATGAACCCGCTCAGAATCTAGTTGCTTCCATAACAAGTTGCAGATAATAGTTTGAACAATCACTTACCCCTCCCCTCCCTCAAAAAAAAATCTTACCAATTCTCCAAAACAAATATGAGAATATACTTCTGTACATCCATACATTATCGTTCTATTTATAATGGTGAATAAAAAAAGTCAACACTACCTGTACAAAAGGCAAGCAAAATCACAGTGAAGGCCCTCATCTTTAGAGATTAACTCGTTTGAGAATGTCAAACCTAGTATTAATTCTCTTTGTTTAAGTTAGAATAAGGCACAAAAGCTGAAAGCAAATCCCAAAACACATGGCCGGTCGATAATGCGAGGATAAGTACGAGGACTGGAGAAGGAATTTTTTTCATCTTTATTTCACGTTTACCTAATGAGTAAAGCCCATTTTGGATCCCTAACAAAAAATACGGTCTCCACTTTAGTCCCTAATAAAAAAAAATAGTATCATGGTCTTTATAAAATTTAAAGTGGACTCATTTTAGTCTTTTTGATGAACTAATGTGGGTCTTTTTGAATTTGTGAGAGACCACGATTTCAACTAAATTGGTCCATTTTGAATTTTGTAAGGACCTCAGGACTATTTTTTTTTATAAGGGACGAATGTGGTAACCATAATTTTTATTAACGACCCAAAAAAAACTTTACTCTTAGCTAATTATTCTTTTTGTGAAAAAAAAAAAATTATTTGAAAGTTCATGTGCTGACAGCGGCAACAAAGCAAGTCCGCCACTGATCAAACCCATATATGTAATCATTTGAGTATAGATAATGGTTTAGTTATCCCATTAGCTACAAAATGCGCTTCTTGCTCCCTCGTTTCATTAATCCATCATTTTTTGTGGGTGAAAGTTGTTGAAATTTGAAAGAAAAATAAAAAATAAAAAAATTGGCAAGCTTTGCCTGCAACCACTGCAGTTTTTCCCTTCATTTTCTTCATTTTAACTTAACGTGTATATCTCCCTAAGAAGTATCTTCGAAAAACTAATTCAAACCAGTTTTCTTTACTTCCTTGACAAGAAGCAATCATCGCTTAATCATAAACATAAGCAATGAAGGCTATATCACATATCACACTTCTCTAGTCTGGAATTTGCTCCAACATCACGGAGAATATAGTTAAATACAATAAAATAAAATTCGTAATATTTACATATCTTGAAGCCAAAAGCCTATTCCTTTTCCATATCGTTCTTCTCTCCTAGTGTGGTTGCATGATGGTTTGAGAAAATCATCTCGTTGGATGCTAATTTCAATATAGACAATTGTTAGTTGGTTTAATTAGTACTTTAAAAAAAATTCAAACTATTAATTTATTTTTATTATTATTAATGATTACATTGAATATCTCTATGCTTAAGTAGTTAAGTCTAAAATGCACCAAGAGAGTTAGAAAGCGATTTTCCGTTAATTTTTTTGTTTCTAAGCAAAGAAACAAAACAGTAACAGAATATGCCAAATGCATAAAAAAAACCATTGCTTTCAAACAAATCTCACTTCCATACAATTCCTCATATTATGCTCCCTTAAACTTCTATACAAAACCATCCGATAATTTCAGAGAATATAAATTGAGTATATGGCTAATTAACAGTGACAACCACCTCGGACATTGCCCCAAATCCGCAAATCACAATGGACACCAAAACTATACAACCCACAGAAAGGGCAACCAAAGCCATAACGTGCATAACACAAACACTACGACTAGGAGAATTAAAACATTGTTTTTGGGACTATACCAATCATTCCATATTCGTACAGCAAGAAAAAAGATACCAAATTGCTTTTTAGTTATACCAAACAGAAAAAAAAAAGTCCAAAATGAAAATTGTTTTATTTGGGGAAGTAAAAAAGCAAAAGGAAGGGGTATTGAAATAGGGATCCTAAGAGTGTCTTGTGGGTAACAATACCCCATTTGTTTGAGTTTTCTTTCATTTCTAAGAGTCTAACCACACGGCCTAACAGCATGTGTGTTTAGTCCATGAACTGACCCACAAGACACAGCTCCCACAACACTTCAATGAATGTGCCGTTTACCCACAACTAATTGATTTGTCCCTTTGGCTTGCACTATTTAATTAACAAGTGTAGGGTGCTAAAAAAATTTATTTATTTATTTATTTATTTCATATATATATATATATATATATATATATATATATATATATATATATATATATGAAAATTATGCTCTCCTGCAACAGAAAATAAATTCTTTCTCGTGCCCAGAGATAGTTTTATGTGCTAGCCAATTTTTTCTTTTTAAAGTGTGAGACACACTCTGTTAGAGGAGATATTTGGTGTCCTGCAATATAACTCATATATGTATTAACTATCCTTATACCTTTTTGCATAAAAGTTTTCGTTTCATTTTACAAAGGGAAAAGTATTTCTCCAGTCTTCGGAGATAAAATTATATCAAGTGAGTTCAAAACGACATTATTTTGAGTTATAAGATTAAAAAGTTATAATTATAAATATTAATAAATCCTGCAATATCTTAGAATAACAAAAACATCTTGATTTTTGCCCCAAAATAACATCGTTTTGAGTTCACCAGATATAACTTATCTTCATTTACTGGAGAAATCCTTTACCCTTTTACAAATCATAACAAAATAAAAAAGAAAGGATAAATTAAATCAATTTGAATAACAAACTAGTACAACTTCCTTATTTCTTATTATGAATACAAGATATTCTTATCCCTTATTTTGAAAAGATATTCCTATCCCTTATTATGAATATTCTTTATTTTAAATAGAAGATATATCGATTATCCTAACTCATTATAAATGCCCATATAGGCCTAAACACTTTTAAAAGGAGGGTGCACAATTGATCTCATCAGGCTAGCTAAGAAGATAAAGGTTAGAGAGAACATGGCTAGTGGGGCCGCCGCCGATGGGCTTTTCCGGTCAGTGTATGAGGGTTGCATATCTTGCTACGACAACTGCATTGAACGGAGGCCTTACCATCGTAACTGTGGTTGTGCTCTCCATAACAAGTCACGCAAAAGCTGCACACACAAACTGCCAAGGTGTAACAATGTATCATACCCTATGAGAAGGGCATGGAGTGAAGGAAGCTTGGTCTTGGAAGCTTCCGCTCATTCCTCTTCTTCTTCTCCTTCTCCAACTACAGCTAGGAGCAGGGCTCAAGCGATTTTGGTAAACCTTGAGGAGGAGGAGGAGGAAGATACATAATTGTTTTATCTAAGGTTTGAGAAGAATCTGTTTGATAAAACTTTATTTTGCTCCTCTTTCTTTTATTTACTTTTTTGATTACTATGTTGATTTATTGAAAGGTTGTCAAGTGTTTGAATCGACGTACGCTATTTTGATCCATGGACCAAGTATGTTTGTCATCAAAATGTCTGGTACAATTAGTTTGGCCGCTTCTGTTTTAGGCTACTTCATTTATTGCAAAATTGTAATTATGCTAATGAAATTTCTTTATATCTATTCTTAATCTTTTACCGTAAATATTTGTGCATATGCAATTAAATTTCATTGTTCTTCTGTGGAGTGTTCAGAATTTTGGGAGATGGATAGCTAACATGTTCCTTTCTAATTAATCCGCTTCTCTAGGCAATAGAATTGTGTATTGTATATTGAATACGTAAGAAATGATAAAATAGGATTATATGAAATTAGAACACCAAAAGTTTTAGGCTTATTTGTTGAAGACATAATTATTGATTTCTTGAAAGGCTCTTCTTGCTTGCTCTCATTTCTTGCAAGATTTGAAAGATCAGGATCTTTCTTTACAGTTCACGCCACTTTCAGATCACAATTGTCGATGGAAAAAGTTGTGGAGCGATTGCTTTTCAACAAACTGTGTATGCAATTAAATGAGTTTTATACTCATCCCATATGGATCATGAGTTAACTCATTTTTATAAAATAAGAAAATAAATATAATTGATTGCAGCCCACAATAATTATAAAAAATCTAACATTCTCTCATTTGGACAAAATCAATTGTATAATTTTAATTTTAAAAAGAAAACAAGTTATTTTTGAAAACTACTCTCAAGGACTAATTTTATAATGTGGCCAAATTTTAAGAAAACACATGATCCAAGGTGCAATATCTGAATATGACTCCATCGAACTATAGTCAAAAAACAATGAATCAGGCATTGATTACATCCTTAATTGATATAAGACCTTCCCTGTTACAATGTCATTTGACTTCATCGACTAATCACTAGCTAGTGTGGAGTGTAGCAAGAAAATAGTATGCCAATATGATCCAACAACATCCAAACTGTTATTTTTTTTTCAGTGCTCAAATTTCTCTCAAATGCCTTAAAGCCAAAGAAATGTCATGGTTTATCAAAAACCATCATACAATCAAATATGGTGTCGATCATGGCCCCAGTGGTCCTAACAACACCCAAATTCATAATATCATTATGTCTCAAACTCCCATATAGTGTCAACTACAGACATGATATTTCCAACAATACGGAGTTCCAAAATCTCATTATTATGCCTCAAACTCCAATATAATGTCAACCACATGCATGGTGGTCCCTACGACACTAAGTTCCAAAGTCTCATTATCATACCTCAAACTCTAATATAGTGTCAACCACTGACTTGGTGATCCCAACGACACTGAGTTCCAATATTTTGCAATTGATAAGCATAAACACATATAAGCAATATGTACAATAACAAAACTCAATGCATTATCAATTGCTCAAAATGAAATTTTTATATCAACCAAATAAGAATTATATCCAAATTAAAATGTTCAACATGATAAGAAAATAACAATTAACTAAAACTCCCACTAATCGAGCACATCAAAGCAACTCGTAATGCTTATGTTCTTCATATGTATTTTAAATATATAGGCCTAAGTCCTTTGGTTAGAGAATCAATCAATATGCTCAATAATTATGTCATTAACACACAATACAAGAAAAAAGGAATTTTCTCCCACTAACCTTAAGGTAAATATGCTAACAAAATAAAATAAAATTCATAAGCAATAACTTGAGAGTCTAACATTAAATTTATTTTTTCATCACCAAAAATAAAATAAAATCCAAGCTAATCCAAATCAGATATAAAATTCAAAATCGTTCTTAAAGAGGTTTATTGAAGGTTCATTTCAAAATAAACTCATATTCTCACATCAAAAACTAAACAAATTTCCCCATTAACTCCACAATAACTTCAAAATCACACAAAATCAATTATATCTCTAATGCAATTCCTTATCAAAATCAAAATTCATAAGGAAAAATGTAGATCTCATTTGAATTCATTATAATTCAATCTAATCAACAATTCTCTTATGACATTATTATTGTTCATATCAAAAGTACATTTATTACATTAATTGCAATTTTATTAATTATGTGCAATCAAGTAATTTTAACAAAATAATTAACATATTATAAACTCCATTTGGACAAAGTATATAATACATAATTATTTTGCATTATTTAAAATTTTATCTCCATGAAAGTTTCAAAAATTGATGCATACAATAAACTCCTTTAGGCAAGTAATTGCAAACAATACTTTTTATCAACAAAGAACTCTAACAATTCACAAATAACGTTTCTAGTAATCATGCTCAAATAATATGAAAAATCTTATAACATGTGTTTCCAAAATTCATATTGCATTAACTAAACTATAATTTATGCCACAAATTTCAATCTCCAATATAAAAAATTATATATCTTAGCTTACTAATCAAATTTATTTAACAGAGTACATAAAATCCATGCTAAATTAAGGAGAATAAGCACTAACATTATAATCACCATAATCTATAATACTTTTTTATTGATTACAATTTTTTTTTTAAAAGGGACATAAATATTTATATGTGTCAAAATTAAAATAAGTATTTTAAGAACATTGAACAAGAAATTATCTAAACACTTACAAATTGATTAAAAAAATTAATGGAAAAATATAATCTTAAGGAAAAACATACCTTTAATTAAAACAATATTTGTTTACCGAAAAAAAAACAAGATATCGTTATTAGGCCAACATAATAATACATTCTCGTTGGGTAAAATGTACTAACCAAGTTTTTAACCAAGGCTAGAATATCAAATAAGTTAATCAATGAGCACAAGAGGTTATTTTAACAAGACCAACATAATAATACATTCCTTTTAGAATATAATGCATAAATCAAGGTCAGAACCTCGGATGAGTTAATCAATTCACAACACTGGGTTCAAAAGTCCATCCTCTTTGGACAGATAGATCCCTAGACCAATGAGCTTCCAATAACTTCATCTACAACCTCAAAGAAAAGCTGCTCAATTAGCATACACCGATTTCAGAGATTTTTCCTCTTTGAGCAGACAAATCACCTAGACCAATGCACCTCTATTAACTTCTTTCCAAACAAATTCACAAGTTCACATTATAACACACAATTATCCCATTTGCGCAGAAAATTACATGGAATAACTAGAATCATTCCTCAAATTACAAAGAAATTTTCACAAATCAATATAGATAATTCCACTTTGGTGGTAATCACCCACCCATAATAATTTATGAAAATTCTTGCACAATAATTAATTTTCTCTTGCCAAAACTATGATACAGTGCACAAGAAAAGTATAAGTCCCCTACTAATCATGAATTCAAAATATATAATAGTATTCCCAAACAAGATTTCCTCTTAAATAGTTTAAGCGGAAGTATGCACCCCAATAAACAAAAATATTAGAGCAAGTATTAGACGCCGAGAGCAATCAATACTATATCATAACCACATCCAAATCACATCATTATTTGATGCAAGATATAACAAATTAAATTTTCATCATATTTTTCTTCAAGATATATTTAGAGAAAATAATAAAATATAATATATATTTTTTTAATATATTTTTCAAAAAAATAACACTTATTGTGGTTTATTGTTTGGTCCATTAATAGAGGTATCATTTGTAAAGGGATTTTGGACTCCCTCATACCATTCTTAACGAAAGAACAATGTGGGTAACATTCACTTAATAATGTTTAATATATATAAGGCCATATTAAATATTAATGATTTTATATTATATCTTAGAAAAGTTTTGGGTTCTTATCAGTGTGATTGTATCTAAATATAATGATTATGAACACAATTTCTAAGATAGGTTCCAGTTGCTCTGACCACACGTGTCAAGCGGGTCCAGGAGAGTCTGTGGCGGGAGATCACCACAAATGGACTATGCTAGACCAGTCGCACCAAGTAGATCCGACATATGTCTCACCAAAAACCTTAAGGCATTGAGTTTATGGGTCCATCCACTTATAATTACTTTAATTAGCCCATTATCAACCAATGTGGGACTTATCACACTTGACTATCCTAACAATCTCCCCTTTAAGTATGAAACTCAACATTGGTATATTCCCCCTCAACTGAGTGTTGGGTTTGCTCTTTTACTAAAGCCCAAATGGGTTATTAGTATGAGAAGAGCTCAAGGAACCTAGAGCACAATGAGCTAGGGTTTTTTGGAACTCATATAAATAGTACCTCTTAAGTCATCAGCCTCCCAGGTCTTTTTGTGAGAAAGAGGCAAGCTCAGAATCTAATCAGTGCCCACACACTTCCCCTTCCTCCTCGAGAGATAGTTTGGAAGATCTGCCACAGTCCAGCTTTGTTCGTGCTGCGGCGCTGAGGTGAGCTGTTCGTGAAGAGGAATCCTACAAAGGAAGATTCTACACGAGACCTGCGCACCGAGAGGTAATTGTGAAACAAGGATGATTCGGTAAGCATACCTATGTACTAGGTCCTAAACCGCTTCCGCATAAATCTAAGATTTCCTACAATTGGTATCAGAGCCTTGGCTGTACATTGGTATGTGAATCTAGTTTCACTATTCATGTAATTAGTTTTGCTTCTTGAAATGTGGCACCTAGGGTTCTAGGATTATGGTATGAATCTAGCATGTGTATTTTATAATTCATTTTCATAAAAGTTTAAATTTTAATCGGTAAAAATGCTTTAATCCATGGTTAGGGTCTCTCGTGTATTTCTCGATTTGTAACAAGGAGGCTAATCCCATATGATTAGGTTTCCTCCTTGCTGTTTTTGTTTATTTTTGGAATTTCTGTGTATTTTTTCAATATTTTGTAAAAGTTCAAGATCAAGAAATCGCGAGGAAGATGCGCAGTCAGCACTGTCGGAGACTTTTCGAGGACTTACCGATCTTGGA